AGTGGCCCTGAAGTCACTCACAGAAAATAACTGGTGTTAGGTAAGAGCCCAGGAAATATCACACTAGCTCAGAGGCTTTGCCCAGCCTCCTCGGGTTTAGTCTTAGAGAGTAGAAGAATGTGGGGTGGGCAAGATTCCCTCTGCATCACAAGCGTATTTTGAAGTTACCTCTATCAAGACTCTTTACTCATTATTACAGTGATTTACTTTTGTGTTATCACGCCCACTAAACTGCGGTCACGACTGATTGTCAGACTTGATTGTCTTTCTCAATTATTTATCCTTCTTTGTGTCCCCCTCACCTTGCACAGTGCCTATCACATACCAGGCACTTTACATATACATTTCTGGAGAAACCAACCACACATACAGAGCTCTTCCTTCCCATTCTGGCCCTCTCTCAGATGACTTAGCTTTCCTTGCTCAAGCTGCTATTCGCTTTCTTGTCAGAACTGGCCCTCTAAAACCCGGATGATGGATCATGTCCTACAGGCCTACGGCCCCTGTGTCTGTGACAGATGCAGACTCTAACAGCTGCTTTGCAAGAACCCCTGAGATTCTCTCTCCACATATCCCTTGCCCTACCTTGAAAGTTCCCCATTTTTGCTCCATGTACACATTATTTACCTGTAAGCGTATAGCAGTTTATTTCACATGGCATTTAGAAAACCTATAATTAGCCAGGCTAGAAACAAGGCAATAAACTGCACAGCAGCCCAGCAGAGTATGGTCTAGACTTGATATGTTCTTTTTTTTTTTTTTTGCTTGACACATAGTTGCCAAATTTAGCTCCTTCTACATTCCTAGATCTATTACCTTGACATTTAATACCCTTCTTATTAAACTCCTTGGAGAATTTCACTCCTTTAGAAATAGGTACTGAAGAGATAGTCAAGTCCAAACCCTTTCTTCGGGTGAATTTCACAACCTGAAAGCACTGTACAAACTCAGAACAAGATAGGACTGTGACCCAAGTGAGTGTTACAGCCCCTGCTGTGAAGAGTCAGCTAGCCCAAGGACTCCTGACTCTGGGTCCAGCTGCCTTCACCCTGTTACTGTGCCTCTGGGATAGTTAATGTACTCCTGTGCTTCTTTGTCACATGGCTTAGGTGGGGAAAGTGAGTACAGATGTGTCCTGTATGGAAATATTTTTGTCATAAGGTGATCTTGTTTTAAGTAGTTAGAGGCATTTATTATTTAACAGAGCCCTGCAGTAAAACTTTTACATGGTGAAGAAGTGCTCTCTAAATAATCTGCCAGCCTAATTTATTTTCTACTACATTTTTTAATTCTAGAGTCATACTTTCTGATGACCAACAGGCTATACATATAGACTGAAGTTAAACAGACCTACTGTTCCTGTCCTCTTCTGCAACTTGTGACCTTAGGCAAGTCCCTTACCTCTCTGATTCTTGATTTTCTCTCGTATAAAGTGGGTTTAACATCTTCTCTAATACAAAGTGGGTTTAACATCATCTGCTCAGTCTACACCCTCAGTGATGCTGGGAAGATCAAGTAGGAAAACGCACATGAGAGAAGTTTTTAATAATAACAATTACAACCACCAACAGGAAAAACAGCTAGTAACTATTTAAAATTTATTATGTGTCAGGTACAGCTTTGCATGAATTACCTCATTTAATTCTTATAACGATCTTAAGATGTAGGTATTATTATACCCATTTTACAGACAGAAGACCAAGACATAGAGGCTAAGTAACTGGCACAAGTCACAAAGCTAGTAAATAAAGAAGTTGTAATAAACTACCGTATGCTACCCATACCCTGGGCACAGTGATAACATCTTGCTGACTGAGACTGTAAGAAGTAACTACGTAATAGTGCTGGAAAATAAGATAATCACCATTTTATAGATGGGACAACTGAGATCCAGCAAGATTTCATGGCTTGCCCAATGTCCAATATTATATTTTTGGAATATATATTATTTAGAGTATATTTTGACTATGTCTGAAGTACTCTATTTTTAAATTGTGGCAACTAGAGCAAAGCTGTTAAAAACCTGGGTGCTGGATTTAACGGGCAAATTTTAAATTCCAGCACTAACACCTAACCAGCTATTTTACTTGGAAATTCAACAGAAAATATGTCTGGACAATCATAAGAATAAATGCTTAAGAAATGTTAGCTACTATTTCTATAACTCTCCCAATGCCTGCAGCGGAGTTTCAAAGCACTTCAAGAGTTCTAGACAGGCCAGGCGTGGTGTCTCACGCCTGTAATCATAGCACTCTGGGATGCCAAGGTGGGAGGATGGCTTGAGGTCAGGAGTTCAAGACCAACCTGAGCAAGAGTAAGACCCTGTCTCTACCAAGAAAAAAAAAAAAAAATAGAAAAATCAGCCAGACATGGTGGCATGGGCCTGTAGTACCAGCTACTCAGGAGGCTGAGGCAGAAGGATCACTTGAACCCAAGAGTTTGAGGTTGCTGTGAGCTAAGCTGACACCATGGCACTCTAGCCCAGGGTGACAGAGAAAGACTCTGTCTTGAAAAAAAAAGAGTTCTAGACAAAACTATATAGCTCTCTTTGAAAGTGCAAACGGAACAATTATAGTATCTGGATTTACAGAGTAGTAAGGAAGGGGAGTCCCAAGTATAAACTTTTTTTGTTTTCCTTTTTCCTGATTAATCTATAAAAAGAAAAACCTCTGTAAATTCGCATCATTCACCTTTGGGCTGGAGGCTGCCAAAGACAGGTTTCCACGGAGCATTAGAGCTCTGGGAAAAAGAAGCTCCCCTGCTGAGATGCTGAACAGAACACCACCCCCGACCTACTGTGTATCAGTAGAAATGACTTCCCACGACTCGTTAGATTTCTCATTTACACAGACTTCTGTGACTATAGCCTCCATGGCAACCTCAGTCCAGAATCATGGCTCAGGAAGCATTTGCAAGATTGGGAGTTAAATTGCTCCTGGCAGTTATGTTGTAAAATGGGTAAAGCTGAAAATGACGATAGGTATTTGGGGACAAAATATATGTGTAATACAGGAATCACAATTTATTGGGACTTTAATCAGCACTTGTATATCATGTCTTCCTTGCCTACCATTTATACAGGCTCAAAAAATGGCAGCTAATACAATAATAATGCTTTCAGATCCCCCAGCTAGTAGGCACGATCGCCTTTAGCTAGCATTGTTTGTTGCTCATTTCTCATCTCTTGTTCTTGGAAGAAAGCATTCTCTCTGTTTACAGATACGGAAACTAAAACAAGGAGGTAAGAGAACTTACCTTAGATCGCCTACTACACGTGGAGTAAAATAGGGATTCAGACAGAGGTAGTTCGACTCTGGAATTTGGACTATTAATGAGTATCCCCTTCTGTCTCCCCTGCTTAGGTGAGGAAACCGAGACCTACAGACATATAACATGCCTGATGTCACACTGTTGCTTAGACTGGACACAAAAGTCCAAATTACAGCGACATCCCCTTTTTAACAGTAAGCTATTTCTAAATCTGAGTCCTGGAGAATTTTATGCAGCCAGTAGAGTTTTCAGGCACTATAACATACAACAACAAAGTGCATAGACTAATAGGGAATTTTTTTAGATGAAAAGCGCAATCAGACAGTGGCCGATAACAACTTCTAGTCTCTGATAACCCCTGTGCTACTAGAGCTGCTGAAGATGATTCCACGTGCGTGAATCTGCCACATGCCGAGAGTTGTATCATAAGATCTGGCAGATCATGATTAAAGAGGTACTAGAGTCCCCAGACCAGAAATGCCCTTTCAAAAATTTTCCACATTTGTTCTGGTTTCAAGCCTTGATAAAATGTTTCCAATCAAATGCACCCGCTGAAATGAACCAATTTCCTGAAAAGGAAGTGGCTAGTTTGGGTCCAGCACTTAGAAAGAAAGGTTCCTGGTGCCACAGACCATAAAACAGTCAGAGATGAAGAGAGACTGTTTAAAGTGGTCCATGGAGAATCAGAGGACCTTAAAACTTCTAAGCAGGAAGGTTCCTGAGACTTCATTGTCCAAGCCCTTTCCAATTAACAGGGATGCAATTGAGCTGAAGGGACTTGTCCAAAGCCACTGAGCAGGTTAGTTGGTGGCAGAGCCAAAATATGTAGTGAGGGATTGGACATACTCAGGTTGGGAACAGCCTTAGCCCAGGATTCATTCTTGGAGTAGACACTTTGCACCCTCACTTTTGACTGGGCCTAACTTCTGGTAAAAACTCTGAGAGTTAAATTCTGTTTTCAACCATTGTAAGTAAGTAAGTAAATAAATACTCATTTTCCAGATCTCTCAATGAAAACTTTAGGGCCAAATCAAGAAATCTTATGGCTATCATAGGCCCTTACACAAAAGTGGCCTTAAGATATATACACATCCTCCTTTTGGTAGAAGACATAAAGCCAGAGAAAGAGAGAGAGAGAGAAAAAAAACACTTTGCCCCGATATATACACAGAAAAGTCCTTGGCTTCCTTAAAGCAAAAAACCTCAAACTCCCTTTATTGAAGGGCGGAAGGCTGAAGGTGGTGAAATTTGGAATAAAGCGAGTGATTGAAAACAGGCATGGGCAAACTCCAGCCAGCCTGGGACTCTCCCAGTTTCTGCTGTTAAGCCAGCTAGGGACTTCCCCTCAGTGGGCTCCGGCACATAAGGACGTGCGTGACACTACGAGCTGCGTGACACTGGCAGGACTGCCCGCGCCCAGAAAATGAGCTGGAGTCAGAACATAATGCAGTTGTAGACAATCTCCCTCTGGTTCCCCAGGGAGGCCTGCTCTAGGCGGAGAGATCCCAGCGGAAGGTTCGGGGTGGGGAGCTAAAGCAATAGCCCCCAAAGCGCCAGGAAATGCACTTGAAGTTTCAGCTAGAGCAAGAAACTTGTTTTTCTTTGAAACTGAGTTTCCAAACCACCAGGAAAAGTCTCTTGCCTCACAACCTGGTGATCTGGATCTCACGCTTGGCCACAAGCCGCTGCCCTGGGACTCCCCCCGGTTGGACCCCATCCCCGGCACTCACCTGCGATGTCCCAGAGCTGCAGGCGCACCACTGTCTCCGGATCCCAGTGGAGCACCTTGAGCGCGAAGTCCACGCCGATGGTGGCCCGGTAGTGCGAGGAGAAGTTCTGGTGCACGTAGCGCTTGATGATGCTGGTCTTACCCACGCCCAGGTCGCCGATCACCAGCAGCTTGTACAGGTGCTCCTTATGCGGGACCTGCATCCTGGCCGCCGGCCCGCCGTGCAGTGCCCGACGGGGAAGCGCAGCCCGCGCTGGGCGCAGCAGAGAGACCCGGGCGCGCAAGTGCGGGCGCGAGGGAGAGGCGGCGGCGGGGCGGGGGCCGAGGGCGGAACTCCTCCCCTAGGGGTTAATCCTCCTTCCCACTCCGCGGCCTAGCAGGGGGTGGAGACAGGAGCGACAACGACCCGACTCCGGGGACTGGAAACTGAGGGGCTCCTGTGTTATTGTCTGTTACAACACTTATTTGTACAGCGCTTTAGAGTTTCCAAAGAGCTTTTTTCCGCCGTTGCTCCTTGCCACAAACTTGTGAGGTGTGGATTTTATTTTCCATGTTGTGAGTGGGAGAAAACTGAGTGTCAAAAAGTACTGTTTGGGAGGGGTTGGTCAGTGAAAGGTCCATCTGCTGGCAGGTCTCTGGAGGTCACAGGGCCCCGCCACCACCCCCCACTGTGGAGAGAGAATACAAGGTCAGGAGGCACAACAACGACTGGACTTGGGCCCTGCACACCCCAGTCTGGAGTTGAGCAACGTGGGGCAAGTCATTTGAGCTCCCCAACCTGTTCTTAATGAGATGGTGGTGCCGACCTCTCAGCGCCGCCGGCTGTGGGAGCAGTGAGCTCTGCCACACCCGTTCAACTGTAATGGTCTGACAAGGACGACGATTGGGCTGAAAATGCTAAGGGCATTCATGACTTTTAGCCTCCTCTCTTATCCTCTCTTATTTAAACAACTAGTCAGATTATTATAAGTAATAATAATAGCAAACATTTCCTGAGCACTTGCTATGTGCCAGAGTTTTTATATATTGTGTCATTTAATCAACTCAGCAGTCTTAATAATACGTACTATTATTCTTCCCATTTTACAAATGAGGAAGCCAAGGACTAGACATTTTAAGTAAGGTACCCATGTACATTTAAATAATGTACCCAACTAGTAAGAAAAAAGCCAAATTCAAACCTAGGTCTTTCATGCACCAAAGATTTTTTTTTCCATCATTTATTTGGCTGATACTATTAGGTCATTAAATATGAAATGTCCGATTTTGAATCAAAAGTTTAGTTTATTATCTTTCAAACAAGAAGCAGTACAATTAATGAAAGTACGCGCCTAAACTATTGACATAGTTTTGCCATCTTAATGGTAAGCTTGTTTATGCCAGCAGCGAAGAAGCCTGGAGAGTAAGTGGCAATGAAATCGTAGAAGGTATTTTCCACAGTTTGTTGAGGATTGAATATTTTTTTCTTTTAAGAAGTGATCCAAAGTCTGGAAGAAGTGGTAGTCATTGGTGTAAGGTCTGGTGAATACGCTGGATGACAGAGAATTTCTAAGTCCAGTCTTTGAGCAGCATTGTTCGCGCAACATGTGGTCGAGCATTGTCTTATAAGAAGATTGGCCTGTCTGTTGATGAATCTTGGCTGTTTAATCACAAGCATCCTCATCATTTTCATCCAGTGGTTTAGATGTACACTGTAATCGACTTGACTAGGTTTTATGAGGCTGTAGTGGATAATACCAGCACTGGACCACCAGACAGCATTAGCTTTTATTTTGATGAATATTTGGTTTTGGACTGTGTTTCAGCATTTTATCTTCATGCAGTCATTGTACTGAATGCTTGTGATTGTCAAAAAGAATCTATTTTTTTATCACATGTAACAATATGGTATCGAAATGGTTTGCCTTTATGTTGTGACAGTAAAGAAAGGCAAGCTTCGAGACAATTTTTCTTTTGATGCTTGTTTAATTTATGTAGTACCATCTATCCAGATTCTTTACCTTGTCAATTTGTTTTAAATGATCTATTATTGTTGGAATAATAACATCAAACCTTGTTGATTTATGCCTAGTTTGAGATGAATTTGCTTCCACTACAGTTTTTAGTTTTTAGTTTATCATCATCCACCTTAGTCTCAGGTTGTCCACATTGCTCATTTTTAAGATTAAACTTAGCAAAATGGAACTTTTTAAACCACAGACATACTGTGTTTTCATTAGCCACATCCTTTTTAAACACTTTGTTGAGCTGTGTTGTATTGGTTTTACAATGGAACTCATATTTGAAAATAATACGAATTTTGGTTGTATAAAAATCATTCTATTAATAAAAAAATTTGAAAGATAGTCACAAATCAAAACATGCATTTGAAAGAATGAGGATATACCTTTACAATAAAAATAAAATTAGAAGTGTCAAATAAAATGGCACAGATATTATATTAACTGTCAAATTTATACTTAAGGAAATCAGACATTTCATACTTAATAACCTAATACATTGCGTGCCTACCATGCACCAGGCACAGCTCTGTGTGCTTGAAATGATATAGAAATAATAATACAGACAACAATTACTGGCCTCAAAAAATATACCTTCTTGTGGCTGGAGACAAAGATAAATAAGTTCAATTTGAAGTATATTAATTGGTAAGCAAATAAAGCAGGAAAGGGGATATGAAGAGTTGGCATGGGGTTAGACTTTAAGATAGGGTAGCCAGGGAAGGTCTCACTGAGAAGAAGACAATACAGAAAAGACCTGAAGGAAGTGAGACATTGTACATACAAGTCTAGGGGATGAGCATTCTATACCAAAATGAGTGACTTTGTACCTGGACGTTCTGGGAATGGAGCTGTGTTCACATTATATCATTTCATCTCCTAATTGCTTTATAAAGTGGGATATTCTGCTCAATTTGTATATGAAGAAACCAAGATTGAGAGCAGCTTTCCCAAGGCCTCACAGAACTAGTTAGTATTACAACTGGTATTTAAACATAGGCCTGTGTGAAACAGCAAATGGAAGGTTTGGCATGACGTTGTCTTTCTGCCTTCCTCCTCTGACATTACACACCCTAATCTTCAGCCTCCACAAGCACTCAACAAGCAGAGGGATGTCCTAGATGTGTGACCGGGACAAATCATATAACCTCTCTGAACCTTAGTTTCCACATCAATGAAATGAGAATAATAATAACTACCTTATAAAGTTGTTGAGAAGACTAGAGATGATATATATAAAAAATGTCAGGCCCATAGTAGGTGGTAAATAAATGGTAGCTATTAATGTAAAATGAGGGACAAGTTTTAAATAACGTCCACAGGTATTGTCTTGTTCAGCTTTGTCTCTCCTCAGAGGGTAACTGAGAAGCTTTGCTCACAATGGACACTAAGTAGAGGTGTGTAGAATTGCACTGGTCTGTGTATTATTGAAGTGCTTAGATAGGAAGACCACATTCACTGATTTCTACCCACACGGGGACACACCAGGCAGATTATATCTAACAAGTGAGGAAAATATTCCACCTGCTTAAAGAATTAACCAACATGGTGGCTTTACTACCCAGAGAGGGGAATTCAGGAACCCAAGGTGCTTAAGCCATTCTGAACACCTGCAAAATTAGAAATGATGACAAAATCAGACCTTTGCCCGATGGAAAATCCTGAGAGACAAGTTTGATCTGGACAAGGAACAGATAGGGTAGCAACAGGAGAGAGGTAGAAGTCTGAGACATAGTGTGGCCCAGTCCTTTGCAGGCCCCGAGCCTGGTTTCCCTAAGCCTAGGCCAGGCTGAGTCATCCTCACCCATATCTGATCTCCCCTTTAGATCTGGAGCATATTGGAACATCAGACATTTACATTTATGATATAGGACGGGCAGGGTGAGATTCAGGTTTTCTGGGGCCTGAAACATAAAATTCAAGGGGGGGGGAACTCTTTAAGCAAAAGAACACAAAACTAAAAATAAAAAATTAGGTCGAGGGCCTTGGATGAGGTCCTGAAGCTTCAGCTTCGTCGCCTCTCTGGAGGCAGGAAATCCCTCTCTCAGGGACAGTGGCCAACCGTGGTGAGCAAGCTCCCTGGCTAGGCAGGAAGTATGTGCAATTTGTTTCCAGCAGCATTCATTTAGGTCTCATGATAATTCTTCACAGTGGGAAGAAATTACTCTCGGTTTATATTTTTAAGGCTTTTAGACTAAAGTGTCTTGGTAAGCACCCCAGGCTAGCAGTCTAGTAAAATCTTTATAAAAGCCACTCTAGATCTCTGAACCTGAAAGTCCCCTGAAAGTAAAGTGAGGGAGTTGGGTTGCAAGATCTCTGGACAGTCATTTGGACTGGAAAGTTCAGAATTCTTGGTCTTCTAGACATCCTCTGGTAGGAGTGACACCCCAGCCATTCCTAGTCACCCCACAATGACACCATTACCCAAGAGGTAGGGCTTCCCATCCTGCACTTGATTTGTACTCTCTTTAGAAGACTTGAGAGAAGGCTGTGGACGGGCCATCTCAAAACGAACATGATGCCATAATTCTCTTCTGGTTTCTTGGCTCTGTTCTTTCCTCTGCAACTGCACATTTTCCCACAAGACAAAGATGATCCAAGCACGTTTTTTTGGCGGGCAAACATTTTTGTGCTCTCCTGCCTTGCCTTGAACTTATTTTCTTTTCTCAAAAATAGGCTGCAGGCTGGGCGCGGTGGCTCACGCATGTAATCCTAGCTCTCTGGGAGGCCGAGGCGGGCGGATTGTTTGAGCTCAGGAGTTCGAAACCAGCCTGAGCAAGAGCGAGACCCCATCTCTACCAAAAATAGAAAGAAATTAATTGGACAACTAAAAATATATAGAAAAAATCAGCCGGCCATGGTGGCGTGTGCCTGTAGTCCCAGCTACTCGGGAAGCTGAGGCAGGAGGATCGCTTGAGCCCAGGAGTTTGAGGCTGCTGTGAGCTAGGCTGATGCCACGGCACTCTAGCCTGGGCAACACAGTGAGACTCTGTCTCAAAAAAAAAAAAAAAAAAAATAGGCTGCAGACAGGAGCAAGGTACCTGGGGACGAGCTGTAAACTGGATTCAGACCAGACAGTCAATAGATGGAAAGGCATTATCATCCTTGCCTCCTCTTCCTCTCACCGCCCGCCCCACACACAATTACGATGCTTCATCAGAAGCTATCTGCCCCACCTGAGATCCATCTTCCCCAGATGCCTTAGGATTATCAGAAGGATGCCTGGCTTCTTCCTGACAAGACTCCTACAGGAGCCAGTGTTCCTTCAGTCTGGAGAG